AGATCCACAATGTCATTAATAAGAAAACTAAAAATTAAAACCACAGTGACATACCATTTTCACTTATCAGAGTGGCAAAAATTAAAATAACTTGATAATTCACTTATTGATGCAACCTCTCTGGCAAAGATTCTCAAAAGCATGGTCTAAAGTGTAGACCCAGTGGGGGCGGGAGGGCTTCCTGCAACTCTTTCAGGGGGTCCACAAGGTCAAAACTATCTTCATAATAATGCTAAGATACTATTTGCCTTTTCCACAGTGTTGACACTTGCTCTCATAATGTAAAAGCAATGATCTGTAAAGCCGCTTGCCATTTAGCACAAATCAAAGCAGTGGCACCAAATTTTATTAGCATTTGTTGTATTCTTCACCACCATAGTGTTATTCTTCACCACTCACAGTGTTAAAGAAGAAGAAGGAGAAGGAGGAAGGAAATAAGAATAGTTTCACTTAAGAATGTTTTTGATGAAACAGCAAAAAACAATGATTTTGTTAGCTCTCAGCCCTTGAGTACACACCTTTTTAAATCCGTGTTGGGAAATAAGAAATATGCCTAAAACACTTCCGCAGAGTATTGTGGTTGTTTTGATGAAAAGCACTGGTGTGTCTGAGTTGCCAGCTGAACTAACCACTTTTTTTTTTATGTAATACCATTTTTTACTTGAAAAAACAACTGACAGCCAAACTATGATTATTCTGACTTGGGGATTTGGTAGACATTTTCTCTAAAAGGAACAAAGTAAGCTTGTCAGTTCAAGAAAACAACTGACAAGAAGGTGCCAATGATAAAATTCGATCTTTCAAGCAAAAATTGGAACGTTGGAAAACTTTTATCTACTTCCATGAACTGAAAGCTTCCCACTACCTAAAGACTTTTTGGGTGGGATTGGTGGTGATATTAACAAATGTGAATTTGTGATATTGTGTAGTGAAATGTTTCAGCATTTGGAAGATCTACATAACTCGGTGAACCAGTATTTTCTAAGTCAAAGTTGTAATTGCTAAAACACTCACTCAAAGTGTAAGACAGACTACTGGATTTTAACTAGCAGAGTAGAAAAAGTTCGTTGATATGGCTTTAGATTCTTCATTGCTTTCTTCATTAACCTTTAAGGACTTACCACTTACTGAGTTTTGGTGGTAATATGGAAGAATATCCAGAGTTATCTGAAAAGACTGTTAAAGTACTACTTCCAGCTATATATTTTCATATTTCTCAACCAAATCAACAAATTGAATACAAAAGCAGTATGAAAATCCAGCTTTTTTCTATTAAGCCGGATAATACCACACTTCTTGCAAAATGTTTTTCTTGAGAGTATAAAGGATTCTTGAGACTAAAAGTTTGAGAACTACTCTTCTATGGAGATTAAACTAAAAGCTTTAAGTTCATATAACTATTGAAACAGTCATTCCCACTTTAGGAATTTTTACTACAGATATAATCTCACAAAGATGAGATAACGCATGTACAAAGTTATTCATTGTTGAATTGTTTGCATTACTAAAAGGTTGGAAACAACCCGGTGAATGCACATCAGTTGAGAATTGTTTGTATTGAGATATATCCATACAACATAATGCTATATTATATATGAAGCAGGTGTGAATTTATCAATGTGGAACAATCTCAAAGATATATTAAATCAAAAATTCAAAGGGCCAGAAAATGTGTAGGGTACACTACAGTTTGTGCAAAATTATATGTAGTGTATGTATGTGCATAGACTACGTGTTGAAGGATATACAAGAAACTGCTAAAGTGGTTGCCAGTGTGGAGGGGAGCTGTGGGTAAGACTAGGAGGAAGACATTTCTAAAAATCTGAATACCTCTTGAGCTGTTATAAAAAATACAAAAGACAGCTGTATCTGTTCCCCCAAAAAATCCTAATATTTTAAAAATTATTTTTTTATTTCTTTCCTAAAATTAGATGGCTAATTACTTAGTAGGAGCTAAACCAGGTTAAAAATCCAAATCTAACTCATCCTGGTTCTACCTTCTTTCCATTACATTAAAATTGCCACACGCTCTCACGGAGTGGCAAGACATTCACAGAAAACAATTGTTTTATGTAGTGGTAATTGTTTTGTTGCCGTAATGAGATGACCTGCCCAGGAGACCCAAGAATTTGCAGATGACTGGAGTCAGTCCCAAGAGGCTGGAGCAAAGCTCCTGAGGAAGGGGTACACTGAGTTTTAAAGAGGTAGTGAGAACAGTTTATTCTAAATGGAGGAGCGTGATCAAGACAGAAGTAGGAATACATACAGCACCCCTGCCATCAGTGGGAGACCAGCATACAGCATGGTCCCCACACCTTACCATGCATCTGAATCAGCCAGAAAGTTGATGAAAATATAGATTGCTGGGCCCACCCTTAGAGGTTCTGGTTCATTAGATCTGGACAGGGGCCTAAGAATTCACATTTCTAACAAGTTCTCAGGTGATGCTGAGGCTGTGGGACTGGTGACTACACTTAGAGAATCAATATATTGAGAAATTGTGGTTAACAAAGGGATTTTAGCCTGCAAGAAAACTTGAGATATGTAATATACTGAAGTCCTGAGGAGAGACAGTCCGAAGTTATTAGTTCCTGGGCCTTCTTTAAGGAATGTGTGCCAAGTTCACAGATTGGTACCTCCATCAGCATGAATTTCTTCGTAGTCTACTCAGAAGGTCACATTATTTCCAAGAGAATTTTCTTAAATGAATCCTAGTTCCTAGCCTTGTGCCTCTGGTTCACGTGAAATTTATTTTTCTGAAACTACTTTCTTCCCTAGGCATAATAACTTATTAGAAAGTAAGATTCCTGTAGTCTGAGGTAAAAAAGATATGCAGATTTTTATAGACAAAGAAAGGCTATGGAAATATTCTAGATTAAAGGAGGCTAAAGATTAAAACTAAATGCAATTCCTACCCCTAGACTGGATCCAGTGTTAGAGGGGCAAAAACGCTATAAAGGACATTATTAGGTCAATGGACAAAATTGGTATATAAATAGTACATTAGATAAAAGTATTGTATCTGTGTAATTAATGAATTGATTACTGTGGTTATGTAAGAGAATATCCCTATTCCTAGGAAATACACACTCAAGTATTTAGGGGTAAAGGGCCATAATTATGTGCCTAATTATGTGCATGGTTCAGAAAAAAAATTGATTTCATAGAGCACGTAAATGGTAAAACAAATGGGATAAAATGTTAACAACAGGCAAATCTGGTTAAAGGGTTTGCAGGTGTTCCTTGTACTACTTTCATTACTCCAATTTTAAGTTTAAATTTTTTCAAAATGAAAAGGTTTTTCAAAAAACATGCAGAAAAGTGAAACAAGTAAGATGTAGAAGGTTGTTTTCTTTAAGAGAGAGAAAATTTCCTTTGGGCATGAAGTTGTACTCTCAGAAAGCTTTTCTATCACTTCCCCTAAATATCAAGAAATAGCCCTTAGAGTCAGCCTAATGAGCACATTCTCTGATTAAGTTCTAGATTTCTATGACAATGTCTGTAAAATATTACTGATAATTTATACTAAGAGGCATGATTATGATTTTATCATGAGTTGGTTATATTTTTATTAGATGATTATTGCCAGTATTAAATATCAGCTGGGTCTTGATCGAAATGCTTGTGGGAAATAGGAAACTACTTGGAAGAAGGAAACTAGGGGAAATGAAGAGTAAACCAGAATCTAATCTGAGTATTTTGCCATTGGGGTAAAAATAAAGGGCAGAGACTTAGTAACGTTCTTCTAATTGGTCCCCCATTAATTTGCAATCAAATGGTTTGGCTTTTAATGAAGTCTGTGATGTTACTAGAGTCAGCTTATAAATCGCATTTTGCATTTAATTCTTTCTTACTTGGCTAGCTCTTTTTTATTTACCTTTTTGACCGTGATATATGTTGATGCCCTTGGAAACCGTTCTCCTTTCCAAGTATTCCTGCCTAGAGTTGCATCTCTCTCTCAGCTTCTTTCTCAGTAGTCCAAATTGATAGACTGTCAAATCACAGATGTCCTCCAACTTTCAGTTATTAATTCGGCTATTTCATTTAATGTTATTCTCCTCTAAGTAAGAGTTTATTATCACAAATGATTTTAATAATGAAGGTCATAAGTAATTAAACCATGAAATTAAATGAAAGAAATTAATTTTTCTCCATGCTGTGCCTTTTACTTCACCTTGCTAAGGTCAACTTCCATTGGCTAAATTTTCATCCCACTCAGGCTAAAATTCTTTTTTTTCTTTTTGAATACATTATTGGAGACTTGATAGGCTTATTATACTTATATATCTCTATTGTGTAAACCTGCTCAAGGAAGAATATTTCTTTATTGTTAATTCTATTTTTCTTGCCATCTGAAGTTCATGCTATATAAAAGACACAAAATTATGTGTAAAGATACATTTCAAATAAGCCCTATAATAATAGGTTGCTATTAACCTGCTTACTTTCTTCTATGAGAGCAATGATTATTAATAAGTCAAAAGCCACATTTTTAAAAATTGATGATTTTATTTTATTTTTTTTTCCTTTTTCTCCCCAAAGCCCCCAGGTACATAGTTGTATATTCTTAGCTGTGGGTCCTTCTAGTTGTGGTATGTGGGACGCCACCTCAGCGTGGCTCAATGAGTGGTGCCGTGTCCGCGCCCAGGATTCGAACCGACGAAATCCTGGGCCGCCTGCAGCGGAGCGTGCGAACTTAACCGCTCGGCCATGGGGCCAGCCCCAAAATTGATTTTAACATTAGAGCCTGAAATGGGCTCTTTTTCCAACATTGGATACATATCTAACCATAGAAAAGTGAGCAATTTAAAACAAGACGTAGTCCGGGTAATAGGGCCAGAGTAATTTTTGTAATGAATCACGTTCATTACAAAGCCGTACATCAGATTCTTCAGTTTACCCAGATTGATGCACACTTTGAACACATAGGAAATTTAATCTGCCATGCAAGGACACTTTATTTTGTGGCTGTTATGGACTCTTGAAGTTTCTTTTGGCAGATGGAGATGGACACATGGATCACTTACTGCCAGGCTGTGAAGATAAAAACTGCCAGAAAAGCAGCATTTACTTAATGAGATCTGGAACAAAGCAGGTATATCAGCCTGTGTTTTGTTTTTTACAGGGGAAGATTTGTGCTAAGCTAACATCTGTTGCCAATCATCCTCCTTTATTCTTTCTTCTCCCGTCCCCCAAAGCCCCAGTACATAGTTGTGTTTAGTTGTCAGTTCTTCTGGTTCTTGTATGTGAGCCACCGCCACAGCATGGCTACTGACAGACAAGTGGCATGGTTCCACACTCAGAAACCAAACCCAGGCCACCAAAGCCGAGCACGCGGAACTTTAACCGCTAGGCCATCAGGGCCGGGTCAGCTTGTTTTTAATGTAAAAAGACTTGAGTGCTTGAAAAACATCTTCAGAGATTAGAAAAGGTATCTGAAGAATCAGAACAGAGAGAAACCAAAAATAATTTATTGGCTTCTTCATTTTAACTTAATTAAATCTATTTTTTATTGCTTTATAGATGAAAAAAGTACTATTATGATCATTTCTGGTGAAGAAGCCCATTCTTGGTCTTGTAATTAAATATCTGTTAATCATTTATGGGCTGTGAATATGGTAAAACACACTATAACTATAATAAAGGGTTATGTAGAAGGACATTGTATCCATTTTCAAGGCTAATGTTGTTTTTATTTGGGGTATCTAGATCTGTTTCATACTCTCCTGCTAACTTTTTACCTGTATCTTGTAGGTAAACAATGTAGAATCCGATACACACTGTAAAAGATTAATATGGGAACAATAGATTATGACATTGAGAATTTTTCCATGTTGATAACACCTAAAAGGAAACCATTAATATACTAGTAGAATTAATCAGTTTTATTTTCTCTTTTGGGATAATAAATGATAGAACAACATATTGACTTCTATAGCCCTTATAGGTAGGAAACATCACATGTTACACTAAGACACTAAACAAAACACATCTTCATACAGTCAGCATTCTAAAAACATTTGAGTAATACACTCGTAAGTTTTATTATCTTGAACTTTTAAGTTTTGCATCACTGAAAACATTAGGTCAAATAACACTTCATCATTGTTTCATAGGTATAAATAAACCTAGTAATTACAGCCTGTCTTCAAGTGACGGACTACTGAAAGAATATTTTCAAATTAGACAGTCAGCTCTCTCTGAGAAGATAAATGTCACAGCTCCTTGGTGACTGTTAAGGATATCATATTAATGAGAAACCTTTTTACTTTTTAGACCTTAGTACATTTACCTTAACAGGAATACTTTATCCTCATTAATAAACTGTCATCCTATTCAGAAATTTGTGATAACTTGACATTTTGTAAAATTTCTTATCTTCTTCTAAAACAAAACCAACAGTTTTTTTTCAAAGTCAAGTGAAACATTAAAACATTTTGATGATATATAGTACTTACTTTTTTGCTTTAAGAAAGATTGAAAAATTGATTAAAGATGCAGATGAGTTTTTTAAAACAGCCCATTTTCTGTAAATATATTTTTATCATTAAGCTGTTTTTTTTCTTTTTGCCTTGGCAAATTATGCTTTCTTTGGAAACCTAGAAAGTGTTCGGGATACCTGTGTTCTAAACTCTTTTCAAGAACCCATTTTTAATATGGTTCGGCTTGGGACCATGTAAACGATTCACCTGCTTATAAGAAAAAACACATCTGCAGGCATATTTGGCATCCTGTCATTTCAAGCCAGCTGCACCTGCTTCTGTTTGGACATCTCCAGGTTGTGTCGCAATATCCATACTCTTAGCTAATTATGGACACATCTATAATTTTAATGGCATATTTTCTGCTCTTTCAGATTTTCAGTTTGCGTTAGGTTATTAAAAGTGAAAATTCAGGGCCGGCCCAGTGGCGCAGTGGTTAAGTTCACATGTTCCACTTTGGCAGCCCAGGGTTCACTGGATCAGATCCTGGGTGCAGACCTACGCACCACTTATCAAGCCATGCTGTGGCAGGCATCCCACATATAAAGTAGAGGAAGATGGGCACAGAGGAAGATGGGCGCAGATGTTAGCTCAGGGCCAGTCTTCCTCAGCAAAAAGAGGAGGATTGGCTGCAGATGTTAGCTCAGGGCTAATCTTCCTCAAAACAAAAAAATACTGAAGATTCAGGCATTCAGAAGAGAAAGGGATTTCCAAAAGCTCATTTTGAAATTAACATAGTCTCTGTTCTTTAGAATCAACGTAGAAAGAGAAAATTTACTAGAAATGGAGCTTCTGGCTGTTTTAGTGAAAAAGCTTGTTCTCCTGAGGCGGCCGAGCTTGTCAAGGCTGTTATCATTTGGAAAGCCTCAGAGCTTCTTGCCTCTGAGGATGATGACTCAAGTCATCATCATGTATAGGAGGCACAGCAGGAAAACAAGGGAGATTGTCATGTTCTAACTTTCTTCCTAAGCTGGTCCTCCTGAAAGGACATGAGTTTAGATGATATTACACTTTGCTTTAATTTTTAAAAATATTCATTTGAGGTTATATGTCCACTCAACACAGATTTTTTTTTAAAGATTAGTTTTTTTGTTTTTTGCAGGGAAAGATTCGCCCTAAGCTAACATCTGTTGCCAGTCTTTCTCCTTTTTCTTCCTTTTTCCCACTAAAGCCCCAGTACCTAGTTGTGTATAATGGTAAGTTCTTCTGGTTATTCTCTGTGAGCCGCCACCACAGCATGGCTACTGACAGACGAGTGGTGTGGTTCTGCACTCAGGAACCGAACCCAGGCTGCCAAAGGAGAGCACACTGAACTTTATCCGCTAGGTCGTCAGGGCTGTCTCTCAACGCAGATTTTAAAATGGGAAATTCATCTATGTGATTATTAACATCAGTTCATCCTAAGATTCTGTGATTCCATGAAGAACCTTGTAAGGCTCCTTCTACCAGTTCAAGGGAAGATGACTAGTGATAAATTTCAAAGGAGACTGTTTTTTTTCCCGGTGTTAGTTACCTATTCATCAAAGTTAATTATTATAACATCCTACCATATTGTAGAGATAAAGAAGTAAGATGCTGCTTATCTTGAAGAGTTCTAATGGATCATCTGTTTTGCAAATGGTGAATTCTTTTTCTAAAAGAACTGTAAAATCTAATTTTTTTCCTCTAAATCCATAGTGGGTTCCAGTCTTACAGGAATTCAGCAATAAGGGCACCCTCTGGGGCTTTGTGCCATATGTGCATGAAGAAGCAACTGAAATAGAAATTCCAATTACCCTTCGTATTGGAGACTACAACATGGATGGCTATCCAGATGCTCTTGCCATACTGAAGAATACATCTGGAAGGTATGGAAATTAAGTCAAATGAGGAATATTTTTAAAATGTCTTCACTTTGACACTTTGTAAATGAATAGCAGTTAAATATGGGTTAGTCTCTTAAATAAGGAACACGATGAGCTCAGTTCCATACATGGTTCCTGAACTTTTCATAACTGCTGAGAATACCTGTTCTTTTTCACAGAATTATTTTCTGTAGAATGAAATGAACATCTAATCTAAACTACAAAGCTTATTTTTCATTCAACAAAACCTGATCTTTAAAAGATCAAAATCTTTTATTAGCAAATGGCCCAGTTAGATTTTGAGACTGAAGACCATGATGCTTAAGAGCTGAGCCTAGGCTTCAGTCTCAGTCTCGCCACTTACCACCTGTGTGACCTTGAGCAAATTACCTAAACTCCTCATCTATAACATGAGAGTAATGTACCTCTGTTGGAGAGTTGCAGTGAAGATTAAATGAGGTAAAAATAAACGAAGCGATTAGTAAGGTACTTAGCACGTACTGACTTTACTCTCAATGAATGCTACCTTACTCTTGCTTGTTTTGTAATGGCATTGAAAATTCTAACGTGATTATTGATATTGTTGGTATATATAAAATGTATGAGTACATTGATTGCGTTATTTGTGATTTTGAATGCTGTAGATACTTTTCTTCCCTTAAGCAGAGGTAGATAAACCAATATAGTGAAATTCAGAATTAGCCTGAATCTTGGGATATTCCATAAATATGACTCTTCCTAAATTTTAATATCGGATTGTTTTATTCATATCATGATTAGTTGTATTTCTTGGTCCTTATTCCTTCTTGCCTGCTGTATCATATCTATCCATAATTTTTATTCTGAGCATTAATTCATTTGTTGACCCTGGAATTAATGATGATTCAGCTCCACATTTACTATCAGGCTTATGATGCAATACAACTTCTCTGGAAAAAATCAGACCTGTTGTTGATTTTTAACACCAAATTGTCTAGAAATCTGATTTTTAGAGAAACATACATTATCAGTGAGTATCCCTAAGTATTTATGGAAAATGATGGACAGTCTGTACCTAAACTTTTCTAAAGACCTTGATTTGAAATTATAATTGCTCTGAATTGTGTTTGCAGACTTTTCCAGGGACGTAATTATCATGCTCCGTAATGCAGAGTGTATGTACTCACAACCTGTGTGTGTGAAGCAAAGCTGACGTAACCAAAAGAAATCTTTGACTTGAATGTGACTGTTGTTCCTTTTAACTTTATAGTGACACATAAAAGAAATGTAAAATTGCTTTATTTGGGACATTAACCCTATTCAAAAGAATAAGAAATTACATCTTAAATTCATTTAAGTCTATGATTACTCATCCTTAGAAGAACATGCAATTTTATTTTTGTCATAAAAGTTTATCAATATTTTCTCTTCTAAACCTTCACATATTTGACTTAAGTTTCTTCACCATTTAGTAATAATGATGGTACCAACAGCTAATTCAGCAGGGAGCACTATAGCTCTACAGGAAAAATCAGACAAGAGGCAGTCATAGACTCTTGATGCTTTTATAGAAGCAGTTGTTTAAAACACAGGGTTTCTTTTTTGTTCTTCTGAGATAGAAGAGAGGTGAAGGATAGATTTCAGTGCATCTGAGTGTTCGTTAAATCACTAGATGAGAAATGGGCCTATACTTGAAAAGGAGATGTGTCTAGGAGAATTCAGTGTAATAAAATTTTTGAAACATAGAAGAAGGAAAAAGAGACATACTGTGCATTATAGTTCTTTCCTACATGAATTCACTTTTGTTGAGAAAGCATTTTATAATTTTTAATTGATTTCAAGACTGCTACATTGCTGAGAATTAGTTCCGGGTTGATGTTTCTAATTTGAAGCGTTGCTATCTGGAGAACTCTGTCTCCTTTTTTCCTGCAAGTTTGAAAATCAGGTAGAGATTAACTATGCCGATGAGAATAAACTCCGCAACATGTATTTCATAAAAAGAAATTTTGAAGCCATGGTTTGTTAACTTGTTTTGTTTTTTTGTTTTTGTTTTCAGAAGATAGCTGTTGTTTGGGTTTCTATTTGTACTTTATTTTATAGTAAAAATCTAATTTGTCTAAGTTAACCTTTAAAATCATGTTACATGAAAATCATCTCTATTAATGGCATTTGAGAGAGGCAGCAAGTGGTGCTAAACAAAACAACGTGGTTCAAGATCAGCTGTTTACATCTGGGCCACCACTAACGGAAAGCCTGTTTTTTTCCTTGGCTGTCCCATTGCTACTCACTTGCCCTGTGTTTAGTTATGTTGTCTTAATTCTCTGAATTTTCTTTTTTTTTTCAGAGAAAAAAGGCAAACTTAACATGATATTGTTCTAATCGTGTACTCTTAAGCCAATAATAATTCTATTTTTAGAATTTTTTAAAATTTCATTTATAAGGTAACACTGAAAAGATGTTTTATGTCCTAAGCCTTTAGTATAGAACTGAAAAACTTTTTAAAAGAAACTGAAGGACAAATTATAATAAATAGGATATCTAAGCCTAAAATTAGATTTAAAAAATTTAAAACAAAGGGTTTCAGCAGCAAAGGGGCAGATTCTGAGTATCAGCCATAATAGCACCCAAAACCTGTTAAATGGTAAGCAAATCAATTAATGTCCAAATTCGATATATTCCTTGTTAGTTAATGCCAGGAAGAAACAACTTTAGTTATAAAGTGATTTTCATACATATTACTTGACAGTAACTTTTTATAGGGTGGTATTATCTTTATTTTATAAATATGAAAATAGTCTCAGATAAGTCAGACAATGTGTCAGAGATCACACAGTTGCAGTCAGGACTTTAAGCTCACGAAATCTAAATCTTTTTTCTTTCCCTGTAAGAAAAAAATTTAGAAGGAAGGAAGTAGTAGATAAGCAAAAATAACATGTTTTTGCCAGAGGTTAAAAGTGATAATTTGGTCAGATAGTAAATATCACTCTGACAAGAGAAAAAAGGAGCAAGCTGGAGACAAATAAAATTCAGAAGTTTTGTGAGCCCTGAAGAAGAAAAAATAAGTATCTGTCTATATATTCCGTGGCAATAGTTCCTCACCACAACTGCTTGCTGTCAAAGGAGATTATGTGCAAGCAAGTGGTCTCTTATGTTAGTAATTCAGAAACCAGAAACCAAACTCTTGTCAGGAAACTAATTGCTGGGGACTTCTGCTGAAGGTGTTAGCTACTTATCCGTTCAGTATAATCTGCGTTTGCATCTTCACCCTTGGCTTTATAGAATAATTTAGCTTCACATTGATACACTGACTCACCAAGAAAAGTTTACGTTATGTTCCAGATGTTCTGCTTTAGAAAGCAAGGAGAGTCATAGTACAGGAACCTATATCTACTGGAACATTTCTAACCACTGTTTTTTTCATTTTCATTATGAAATGTATCAAAGGGTTTCATCATCATTTTAAAATAAATCAACCCTCTTACCAATTTTATATTTTATACTTCAAATGATTCACCATAATTTTTGTTTAAAATAAAGTTATTCATCATCTCTTTCATGGAGGTAACAATGCAGCAGACTTCCTAATTTGCAGCAAAAGAAAAAAATGTCCCGTGACTATTCTACCTGTGAATGTTTAGTGGTAGTTTGCAAAATAAATCTTGATTTGCTGTGTCACATACCATATCAGTGCTGCTCTCTCTTCAGATGTTACTGGAGAGGATTGCCTGTGTCTCACCTTATAACCTTATCATTGTCTTGTGACCTAAATCATTAACTAGTCTTTAGTTAATGAAGGTAACTCTGGGTAGGGAAGTTATCTGCATTCATAGGTTATTGAAGACAAAAGAATATCTTTGCTTAGAGTATTTTAAAATTGCAGGTAGAGGTAGAGCAGGGTTGTTTTTGTAAAATATTTGTTTTCAAAATTGAAAAGGGTGTTGAATTCAAGAATCATAATCATTTTACTGCTTGGATTTAAGAAAATTCATTGCTTTCTCCTCTGCAAGTTATCGTAAAGCCTCTGGGAGTTTCAATATGTGATTTTTTAGTATCAGTTTTTACAATACAGAATATCTTATCAGGCTTAAATTTGCTTTCATTTTTACTCTATTTATGATCACATGTCTTGTTCAGTAGTCTTGAAGAACTCATACTGTCTCATCATTGAGGAGCTCACAGTGCTGTGTTAGCTCACCTTCACTCGCCGACCAGCTCCAGCTTCAGTAGTTGGAGTATGTAACAATCATATTTTTTCTACAATAAGGTTGCCTATTCTTTTGTCCTGATGAATCCCATATTAAAATCCTTAATCCCCTACTAAAATGAGAAGAAAGACCTACTAGTCAGTTATGAGGGAAAAAATTATGTAGTTATTGAGCTAAAACACTGGCAAGCTCTGTTAATTCCAAAAGGAGATATATTAAATATTATTTACTCTATCACCAATTTTTAATCAATCTATTAATAATTACTCCTGCACACTAAATTCATTGGCATAACATTGCATTCTTCTATAATTTTTACATTCCTCTGAATGTAGGTATAGCCCCTTCATATTTCTAATGTTATTTGCCGTTTTTGTTTCATTCATCAGACTTGATAAAGGCTCCATTTTATTGCTTCATTCATGTCTTTGTTTTTATTGTTATTATTGTAGTTGCCCAAAGAATCACTTGTACTTTCAATTATAAGGTGAATTTTTCCATAAACATTTTACCTCTGTTTTTATATTTAATTCCTTCCTGTTTTGCTTTCTTTAAGTTTATTTTTTGGTTTTGTGTTTTAGTTTATTTCACTGAATGCTTCGTTAATAGATTTTTGCCCTTTTCTTATTTTCTAATAAGCATTTTTAAGACTAAATATTTCCTATATACTTGGCTTTATACCACATATTTTGATAATTGGAGCTTTCTTTGTTCTTTTTTTTTTTTTAATTTTAAGTTTCTCTTAACCTAAGACTTATTTAAAAGATGTTTTTAAATGTGCACATAAATATGTTTGAGGAATTGTTTTGTATTGTTTTG